TAAACTTCAAATTGTACAGAGAGACATTTAGAAAACATTTCTTGTATTAATAATGTAAGCGTTATATACAACATTGTTAAATATTTGAGTACCACAAAAGGATCAACTAACTAATACTATTCGGACTCATGTATTGGAGTTAACTGATCTCCATCCTGTGTGTCCTCCGTCCGTCTACGAACACACCTCGGACGCCTCGTGTAATGCTGAATGGTGGTGAATGGGTCTCGGGACGATGGAGGAGTCAGCTGGCGAGACGATGAGTCACCCTGGCTGTGGCCGGGAGCGGTGTTATGGATGAAGTAATCAGTTGTGCTCCACGCTGTGATGCTCTACACAGATGGCGATACAAGACCGCCAAACAAGCACTACCCCAACTGTATCCACAGATCTCATCCCAGTCGTGGTCTAACAGCTGCAGGTAAAAAATCTGAAGATGGCTTCCGCTCTTGTTTCCAAAGAGCACGCCCGAGATGAGCAGGAACAAGTAAGCTCGGGCGTATCTCTGCACTGTGGCGTCGTCAGCGTCCTGAGGTAAATATCCAAAAGTGTCGCGTAGCCAACCGGTCCTCAGCGCGCTGCCCCTGTTCTCGTTTGGCTCTGGCTGAACCCCTAAAACCCGACCTACTAAACCTGCGGGGTCAAGTACCACACCCCCTGTCACCGCATTCCCATGGATGGGATGGCGTGTGAGTATCGCGACGTCCCGCAGCGTGACTGTCGCCTCCCCCATAGGAAGATGGAAGGAGTGTGTCTCCTGCCTCCATCTCTCAACTAATGCTGTGATAAGCCCTCGATCTATTTCTCTGTAGCCCACGCGATGAATACCACCAAAGCCAACCCAGTCGACGTACTGAAGAACGCGTGGATCGACTGCCCAGCCGGACCTCAAGTGCCTGCACCCTAACATTTCCGCTATGTCCACCTGGTAATTCATTTAAAAACTGTAAATAAGGGTCAAGTATACAAAAAAAACAAGACAAATCTATATATGAAATGGCACGTGAGAAATTACCGTCTGCTCCCATATGTCAACACTCCGATGTCTATCCTGCAGTGTAAGGACAGAAGGGTCAAGTGGTCCTGGTATCCGATCGTGTCCGACCATGATATCTGTTCATTCAAAACAATATGGCCAAACCAATTAAAAAACAGAATTACTAGTCAATGAAATTGACATGACTGTCACAGGTAAAAGACAAGTACGAAATATAAGTCACCAAATCTCAAATATAATCCAAGCGTTACTAATGTTACATAACGTCATTAATCAACTACTACATGAATCTACTGTTCTACTACTATAGCTAAATAATTACAAGCTTATGTTTCGGTTGATCTAGCTGGGCACGTTTTGCGATTGTGACCTTGTTGGTGACAACGGCTGCATTTAGTCCCAGGTCGGTTAGTGTCATCCATTTCATTGCGTATGCGCTTTGACTTTGGCCGACCTTTTCCTCTTACCATGCTGGCGTCCGGGATGAGTCTAGGTCCTATGTACTGCGTCCAAGTGGTCTCACATGGAATAGGCCAGAACTGTGGTGCATACGTGTTCATATACGCATCCGATTGCAGGAAAGGGTCCACCCACGGCCTCTCGGACAGTGAATAAGTCGCACACACTGCTAGAACATGAGAGCATGGAAGGTGGAATATCAGGGGTTTGTTGCATGTACAAGTTCTCAACTGGAAGTTAACAGTGTGTCTATGGCCTCCCTTTCTACCAACTCGCTCCCCCCTATGTGTCGTCACTTGGTAAATGTGCAGCCGACGGTTATAGGCATCCACCTTGTGGTATCTTGCTTTTGCTGTGTTCTTCTCTAAAATAGCAGTGACTTTTGGGGGATATGCAAGTCCCTGTTCGGCCCTGGTCTTAGCAGATTCTCTTCTTAAGGTGAAGTACCTGTTAACTCTGTGGAAAGTTAACTCAACAAGGGACATAACTGGCATGAACCGAGCACCTTTCAAAACATTGTTAAATGTCTTAGAGAAGTTTGTTGTACATATCCCATGTCTGCGACCACCGTCGTGAAACAAAGACCACGTAGGAAACGACACTTGGGCAATATACTGTAACGATTTCGTACATGCCTGACCAATCGAAAACAAGTCAGCTTGCAGTTTTCTTTCTTGTCTTTGGTACGCAGCAGCCTTGAACGTATCTCTCGTGATGGTGCTTCGCACGTGAGATTTCAAGTTTGAAGCCAAGCGACGAACACAAAACTTGTGGTAGGCTCGGGGTTGAGTGAATCGAATGTTAGGATCATTCATTACTGCAATAATCCCTGCATGTCGATCAGATATAACACACAAGCCATCTCGTTGCGTAACTCTATCCCGAAGACAGCTCATAAACCAAGACCAGCTGGAAATGTTTTCCCCCTCAACCAACGCAAATGCTAGTGGAAATACTTGGAAGTTTCCATCCACACCTGTAGCAACCAAAAGTGTTCCTTTATACTTCCCGTACAAGTGCTTCCCATCGATACAGATGACAGGCATACAATGTTTGAAACCATCGATACAAGGACCAAATGCCCAAAACACTCGTTCAAATACTTCCATGTTGCTGGTATACCTACCCTCCACTAGAGCTTTGTGTTTCCATATGACTACGGTTCCCTGGTTTGACTGTTCCAGTGCTTGCATGAACTGAGGAAGTCTGCTGTAAGAACTTTCCCAATCACCAAAAATTTGAGTGATGGCTTTGTCCTTGGCATACCATGCTCTTTTATACGGAACTTCAAAATGGAATTGCTTGGAGATGAGTTCCTGAATGAATTCAACTTTTAGTGTCGGATCTTTCTGCACAAAGGACTTCACAAACTCAGATATTATGGACGAATCCAAGTGTGGGTGATCATTAGATAGTAATTCGGTAACACATTTCTCCCAATGCGGGCCTTTGTATGTGACTATGGTGAAGCCACGCGAGTGCTCACTTGTCCTAGTACCCCTTAGAGACCATCCACATTTCTTCTTGCAACGCAGATGAAGGACACTCTCATTTGAGGTCACTGTGGTGTAGAATTGATTTCTCTGTATAGAATTCATCTTCACCATTTCTTGAAGCGTTTTCTTACTGTCAAAGTACATCCCCTTCTCGAATTCTCCCCCTGGAACAAATGATGTATGACTCCCTGAATTGGCCCAATACTCATCAACTTCATAATTCTCATTTATCTGACTAAACCAGGGTACTGCAGTTCTAACCAAGGGCTCATCAATTTCCATCTGCCCATCTTCAAGATCCATGTCATCAAGCCTATCATACTCCTCCCCATTATCATCCTCATCATCTGTATCCGCATACACATCGTACACCGACAATTCGTTATTCACAATATTATCAAAATGACTTGGGTCTTCTTGAGACGGTGATTCTTAAACCTCATCTCGCATCGGTGACGGAGCCACGGTGTTTGATGTTGAAGGACCGGATTGGCCGAACATTGTCACACAGCCCCCCGCATGTGCAGGTGATGCTATATGAGGACTAAACGACATCTGAAATTGATCATCATGCAACAAGCGACTGAAAGTTCCCATCCCATATTCATTCGATGGAATGTGGTTTGAAGGGCCTTGGAAGGACGCGGTGTTGTAATCGGAGACATATGTAGGATGTTGTTCTGCCCAAGTACTTTGTTGGGTACATATAAGCACTGTTTCTACATATATCTCATTGGGAACGCCCTTCATTGTAACAATGCTTCTCAAAGCTTTTAAATGTTTGTTTGTGGAGACAGGTAACACTTGAACCCCATGCCCAGTCTCACACCTCATTTTAAGGTTCAGTTCAGCATTCATTGGGTTTGAGCCGATACTACTGTGAACCTCATTCATCAGATCATTCACAGTCATGCTCGGTTCAAGTGTTATAAGTTCCATATTCCCTCCACTGTACTCAACATTTGATCCATCACACATAATTTCACCTCCCCACCGGCATAACAACACTACATTTTGTGAAGCCATATTCTACATACCAACCAAAACACATTTAAGGATAATCGAATTCTAAAACAACGTCAAAAAACCCTAATTTAACAATACATAACATACATAGCTTCGATAATGGAAAGTTATATCAAATTTCGAGAACCTACATGTGTAGCTAATATGACAACAATGAAACAAGTCCATTCTCATTATCAACATTTTCATCACCAATTTCATAAACTCTTAGTACCGCATACAACTATCAACATACTAATACCGCATTACCATCAACAATTTTATCATTATTTTCACAATAATAGACCACATTACCATCAACAATTTCATCAAGAATTTCATCAAAAACAAACCACATTATCATTGACAATTTCATCAACAATTTCGTCGACAATTTAATCAACAATTTCGTCGACAATTTAATCAACAATTTCGTCTATATTTTTCCTCAACAATGTACCACATTATCATCAATAATTATCAACAATTTATCACATTTCATTACTAATTAGCAACAAATTAATACAATTTACATCACAATTTGCTACAACATACAACAACTATCTACTACCAACTATTCAATGTAAAATTCAACAATGTACTACGAATTTAGGGTTTACCCGGATTTAAAGAGTGAGTGAGACAATGCCGGCAACAACTTCCGTTCACTTTGGTGGCGGCAGGGGCGGCGGCACGGCAGGGGAGGCGTTGGCAACAACTGTGGTTCTTTGTTGCTGACAATGAGAGTTAGTGAGAGAGAGAGTGTAAATTGCGTGAAAGAGAGGAAAGAGATTGAGAAAAAAAGGCCTGGAATTCGTTATAATTCCCGCAAGAAACGCTGCCTGAGGCAACGTTTCATTTAAAGATATAAACGCTGCCTCAGGCAGCGTTTATTTGTATAAAACAGGTATGAAATACGAAGTTTATGAAAAAAGTCAAACTACCATAAAATGCTGCCTGAGGCAGCGTTTTATGTCTTGATTTTTTTTTTTTAAAAAAAAACTGAGTGTAAAACGCTGTCCGAGACAGCATTTCACCTTAGAAGCTTAGTTTGGGAAATACTTTTGCCACGAGACCAATTTCGTAAATAATTTCCGTATAAAGCTTAATTTGGGAAAAAAATCCTCAAACCGTCGACACATTTCAATTCACCAGATAAAAAACCTCTCACTCTAACTTTCCAGATCTCATCGATGGCGTCCACCACCACCACCCCATCAACACCCACCACCTCCACAACACAACCACAACAGTTCTCCATAAAACTCGGGACCCCAGAAGCCCTCTCCCAACTCCGCTCCCTCACCGACGTCGGCACAATGACTCGTCTCCTCCACGAATGCATCGCCTACCAACGCTCTCTCGACGTCAACCTCGAATCCCTCCTTTCTCAACGCTCTTCCCTCGACACCCATCTCTCTTCTCTTCTCAAATCCTCTCAAGTCCTCTCCATCGTCCGATCTGACGCCGACCATATCCTCTCCTCCGTCCGATCAACTTCTGTTCTCGCCGACAATGTCTCTGCTAAAGTCCGTGAACTTGACCTCGCTCAATCCCGCGTTTCTTCCACCCTTTTGCGACTTGATGCCATTTCTCAGAAATCTGCTTGCATTGATTCGGTTAAAGCTTCGCTTGAGTCTGATGATTATGAATCGGCTGCTGAACATGTTAAGAAGTTTCTGGAAATTGATTTGAAGTTTCGGGATTCTTCTGGGTCGTCTCAGAAAGAGGAATTGCTTGCTTATAAGAAACAGTTGGAGGGTATTGTTAAGAAGAAGCTTCTTGCTGCTGTTGATCAAAGGGATCATCCTTCTGTTGTCAGATTTATTCGCCTTTATCCCCTTCTCGGAATCGAAGAAGAGGGGTTGCAGGTAATTTTTGAGATTTTGAGTTTTGATCATGTTGCAATTATGGTTGTGGTTCATGTGTAATGGGTAGAATTGGGTTGTTTTCATTGTATATGAAATTGGGTTGTTGTTTTAGTATTGTAATCGCGGTGTTTGGTATGGTTGTTTTAGTATGGTTGTGTTTCATGTGTAATGGGTGGAATTGGATTGTTTTCATTGCACATGAAATTGGGTTGTTGTTTTAGTATTGAAATCGTGCTTGGTATCATATTTGTTAATTTAGGCAAAATGTAGGTATTCTTTATGTGGGGAAATGTAGGAATGTGTGAGTAGATGAGTAAGGATTTTTTTTTTTTTTTTTGATTGAGTGTTGCATAAGGTTTTAGTATTTATTTAGCTACAAATATGGTTTTTTTTTCATGATTATTGTGTAAGTTTGGATTGTTTTCGATTTATATAAGATTGGGTTATTTAAGTAGTGGAATTTAAGCACTGTATATGTTGATTTGGTAATAATGTAGGTAATTTTTATGTGGGAAATGTAGGTTATAATAACTGTTAATGTTGGAAAAGTTTTGGCGTGTGAGTAAACGTGTATGAATTTGAATGATTTTGTTGTTGTGTGTTGCAGGTATATGTGAATTACTTGAAGAAGGTAGTTTCTATGAGGTCTAGGATGGAGTTTGATCAATTGGTGGAGTTAATGGAGAATAGTTATACGAATAGTAGTAGCCAGGCTAATTTTGTAGCTTGCTTGACTAATTTGTTTACAGATATTGTGTTGGCTATTGAGGAAAATGATGAGATTTTGCGGATATTGTGTGGTGAGGATGGAATAGTCTATGCTATCTGTGAGCTGCAAGAAGAGTGTGATTCAAGGGGTTTCTTAATTTTGAAGAAGTATATGGAGTATAGAAAATTGATGAAATTGACTAGAGATATTAACTCTTATAGCGAGAATTTGCTCTCAGTTGGGAGTTTGGAGGGTCCTGATCCAAGGGAGGTGGAGCTCTATTTGGAGGAGATTTTGTCCCTCACCCGATTAGGTGAGGATTACATTGTGTATATGGTGTCAAAAATCAAAGGGCTTAGTTCGATTGATCCAGAGCTTGGTCCAAGAGCTACCAAGGCTTTTAGAAATGGGAAATTTAGTACAGGTCTTCATGAAGTAACTGAGTATTATGTCGTCTTGGAGGAATTCTTCATGGTGGAGAATGTAAAAAAGGCTATCAAGATCGATGAGCATGTGTCCGATAGCTTGACAACGTCCATGGTGGATGATGTTTTTTATGTCTTGCAAAGTTGTTGTCGAAGGGCGATATCCACTTCCAAAAGCGAGTCTGTGGTTTCTGTTTTGAATGGGGCTGCCAACTTGTTGAGTAATGAGTATCTTGAAGCTTTGCAGCAGAAGATGAGGGAGCCAAATCTAGGTGCAAAGTTGTTTTTGGGAGGTGTTGGTGTTCAGAAGACTGGAAAAGAAATTGCCACGGCTTTGAATAATATAGACGTCAGTTGCGTATACATCCTTAAACTACGCCATGAGATTGAGGAGCAATGTGCAGAGGTAAATGTTAGATTTCTTAATTAAATTAGTTTATTGCCCAATGAAAGTATACCTATTTACTGATATGTTTCTTTCTTGCATACAGTATATGTCTGAAGTTTGAACTGATGTGATGTATGCTTCATTTTAGGATCTTGACTATTTTCCAGGAACTTGTTGTCTAGGTTTTAGTGCTGCATGATAGATTGAGCTCATTTTATATTCTCACGTAACTTTACATGTGATTTTAGATGATAAAACTTTAAATGTTTATTGGAACTCAATCTTCTTTTTAAAACTTTATTATGTTGCCCCTCTCCCCAAAAGAAAGACCTTATATTCATTTCTGCAACGGACTGCGTGGTTGAACCTATTAACTGACAAGATCAAGCACAAGAATTGGGAAAGACAGGATGATTGATAGATAATAGCTAATGGCTTCAAGATACAAACTAATGGCTATAGGCCATGACTCTCCAATGTTCCAAAACAAATTTCTGAATGCCTTCTCCCTCCTAAGCTTCTCCTATTCATATTACTCTACCTTATTACATGATGTGGCATATAGCCTTAATTACTACATTAATTAACTTTGTCTTCATCCCAAGATCAATTTATGAATTGTTGCATGTTGTAGTTGTGGACTTGTGGGTTGTGAGCATTCCCCTGTCTCTGTAGCCTCCTGCTGTGCGTGTAGACAATTGGTGTTGTGGGTTGATTCATTGCATTTTCTTATCATTATAATTGCATTTTATGTATGTATCATTGATTATTCACAGTTGGTCAAGTTTCTTAAGGATATTGTTTTTGTAGGACATTAAAATTATGGGAAGATTGAAGTTTAGATAGGATCATATTCCCTAATGATTTTTAAGAGTCAATAACTGTACAATGTCAGTCTCCATACATCTCGATCAGAAAATAAACAATTAAAAAAAAAAAAGAATCGGAATTGATCAATACATTTATTTCTTTTCTCGAAATAAATCAAAGATAAATCATGGATCAACTAAGCCCTCTCGGAAACTCGTTTAAGAATAAGAACGAGGAATCTCATGCTTTTGACAAAGAAAAGGAGTTAGCTCAGGATTGCCCATTTTTATTGACTCCAGGGTTTCTCTGAATTTGAAAGTTTTCACTTAGTAGGTCTCCATACTAAGGCTCAAGCCAATTAAGTCCGTAGCGTCTACTGATTTCACCAGTCCCCCCCCCCTCCCCCCTTCTTTTCTTTTTAAGATTAGGATCTTCGTGTGATGTCCTCCCACTGAGATTAGTAGTGTTTGTCTTTCTGGGATATTAATCAGTATTGCTGATGTGTTACTTAAGTGAGACCTTAGTCATTTCAAGTTATGTTTGCAAGACTTGCTATGTATGTCTTTCCTGTCAAGGGATTGATTATGAGTTCCATATATTGAGGAGCCTTTGTCCATTTTAATAGGTATTTCCTGCACCAGCTGATCGAGAGAAAATAAAATCTTGTCTGTCCATGTTGGGAGAGACGAACAACATTTTCAAGCAGGCATTAAATGCTGGCATGGATCAACTTGTTGGAACTATTACTCCTCGAATACGCCCAATTGTGGACAATGTGGGAACCATTAGTTATGAGTTATCAGAGGCTGAATATGCAGATAATGAGGTGAATGATCCATGGGTCCAGAGGCTTCTTCATGCTGTTGAAACTAATGCAGCGTGGCTTCAGCCTGTAATGACCGCGAACAACTATGATACTTTTGTCCATCTCATCATAGATTTTATCACCAAGAGGCTTGAACTCATAATGATGCAGAAAAGATTCAGTCAACTTGGAGGTTTACAGCTTGACAGAGATACTAGGACATTGGTAAGCCATTTTTCAAGCATGACTCAAAGAACCGTGAGAGATAAATTTGCTCGGCTTACCCAGATGGCCACCATTTTGAACTTGGAAAAGGTCTCTGAGATTTTGGATTTCTGGGGTGAGAATTCAGGGCCAATGACTTGGAGACTAACTCCTGCAGACGTGAGGAGAGTGCTGGGTCTGAGGGTTGATTTTAAGACTGAAGCAATTGCTTCTTTGAAGCTGTAATTCTTTGTAGGTTTCTTACTTGTTCACTCTGTTTCATATCTTCTTGTTATCTTTTCTTAATCTTTTTTCCCATTTTTCTATATACGTGAGTGAGCATCTTTTGCGGCGTAGAATGTACAAACTCTCAACCTGTAACATTTACAGAGTTTTTACCTTGAAATAGAAGTTCTTTTCTTATGCATATTTGTGTTATTCTTTAGACACTCTCTATGCTAACCTAACGAGGCTCTTTCTCTTGGTCATGCAGCCTCATGCTGTGTAGTGACATTTTATTGTATTAGTTACCGAGGTTATTGAAGTTTTCACTTGATAAAACAGTTAATTTCTAGCTCATTCTGATTGTTCTTCAGATAATCCTTCTTTGGCTCCACATATTGTGCAGCCCTTGTATATTATGTGTTTTTATTTTACATGTTTTTTATTATGTAGCTAATCAGTGCATGTTTGTGTGTTATTACATTTACTTCCAGGTAATTTTAACCTTTTTCTTATTCTTGGCAGTTAGAAACATTATGTCAAAAGTGTAGAACGGTTATGGATCTTTTTACCCCTCAAAAGTAGCACTCATCTGCTTATTTCAGCTGTCTTATCTTTGTTCTAAAACTTTGCTCTAGCTCCTTGCTTGATGTTTCTCAGTTTAGTGAGGTAAGTTCTGCAGTTAGAAGAAGGTGAAAGTGCAATACTATAGGTGCGATTATTTAAGGTTATAAAAACCTTGCTATTAGTTGGCTATATTTCTGTCTGTTGTCCTAGTAATAATTTCTTTGGGTATAATCTCAATGTTTACTCAAGCATCTCTTACTAGGATTTTGAGTATATTTGATTGTGAATTGTGTTTTTGAAACTTCAGGATTTTGCCGGTAATGATATGTGGTCATAGTGTTTGAAGATTTATATTGGTGTGTTTGAGTAATAACTAGGATTTTAAGACTTCAGGATGGCTTTTGTTCAGTTGCAGAGTTGATAGTTTTCAAGGATACTGTGGTTGAGGTCAGTGGCTTTTAACTTGACCTAAATTTCTGCCTTGTTTTATGTACTCCTCCTTTTTCAAATAAATAATGACTACACTTGAGTCTAAATTTTTGCCTGGTTTCATTACTCCCTCCGTTTCGATTTACACTTCACTTTTCAAGAAAATAATTGGGAAGTAAGAGAGAGAAATGGCTAAAGTACAATATTTGTAATAATAATTTAAAAAAAATAAAAAAATTGTGGATCCGAAAGTGCAATGATATGTACAAGAGTATGAAAATGAACCCTTTTTTTTTTTTTTGTGTGTGTGTGTTTGTTGCCAACTAGCTTAGCTAGTTAAAGTTTTGGGAGGTGGTATCCAAAATGAGGTAGTATGAATTTGTGTTATGATATGTCGAAGAACGCTGCTTTTCATGAAATGTGTTTTGCATTATGTGATGCTTAGCATTTCAGTTAAGCTGATGTCTTGCTCGTTCATGTGTCTGTTGTCTTTGTGCTCGTGTGCTTGTCATCTTGTTTTCTCCTTTTGTATGCAGTCCCTAAAATCTTCTCCTTCCTAGCTCCCTAAAGTCCATACCCTGATCCTCTGCCTATAGATTTTACGTAGATAGCTTATAGCAAGTAGAAAACTTTGTTACAAACCCTGGTTTTCATAAGTAAGATAATACATCCATGTTGCACTACTGCCCAACAAGCAAGCTACTGAATCCAATTACTAAGCTGGAATAAATAAGAACTGGCATATTATAGTCTCCTACAGTCCTACTCATAGAATAAAAATGTGGTCATGGTCGCGATTTCAGGATCGACCGTGGTCCGTGGTATTGGTATTGGTAGGCCTGATCACGGATCGGATATCCGATCCGATATCCGATTTCGGATCGGATATCCGAATCTGAAAATTTGCAAATTTGATATCCGTATCCGATCCGAAATGTTTCGGATATCCGATATCCGAAATTTTTCGGATCGGATACTTCAATTATCCGTTATCCGAAATTTTTAAAAACTATTTTTAAAATATTATTTTTTCCGTTTATTATAATAAACTATTTCATTATACAATGTGTTCTTTTCTTTTTTTTTTGGGAAAAAGGGAGCATATTAAATTACTTAATCAAACGGTTCATACAAGGCATCATCAAAAAATCAAAACCAAAGCTTCCCTGATTGTCTCTAACAGAACAAACAGAAATAGAAAAGCTAAAGCAATAAGAGATCTGCATCCAATTAGTTGCTACTGTCCTGAAGGTCTTGCTCATAAATATCATTCACGCAAGTTGGAGCAACATCATGTGGTCTTTCATCATCCTCCATATTAATCGCAAGCTTCCATGTCAATGTAATTGAAGTCAATATTACGATCAGTCTTCAGAAATTCTCCAATATCCCTCAAAATGACAGCTAGTTCATTAGTTCCATAATTTTCTAGGATTTGCTTGCAAGCCACGATCCATCGCTTCTTCTGAGTTCTGATTACACAGCCTGCACCCGCCTCTCCGGAATTTCTCCATGATCCGTCATATTAACCTTTTGAGTACCTTGTCCTGGCCTCTTCCACATTTCATACTGGTTACGAATGGCTGGAGCTTTTCCTTTCCCCTGAAAAACAGAATTAGTGGCAACCAAATCGACCATAAAGTCATAAACCTGTTAAGCATAGTTACATGATGAAGCATAGCCAGGGCAGCAACAAGCCAACAACGGAGCAGCAACAACGGAGCAGCAAAACAGCAGGGCAGCAACAACGAAGCAGCAAAACAGCAGGTCAGCAACAACAATATCAGTACAGCAACACAGCACCATCAATACATCAACACAGCACCTGGCAGCAATAAAAAACAGCAATAGACAAACTAAAAAAACAGCAAAGCAACACACAAAACCACTAAACCAATTAACCAAGCAAATATTAAACACACAAAAACATATTAAACACACATAAAATAATCTCTACAATGCTCCAAGCCACTAAAAGTCCACAAACTCCAAATTAGTAAATTACACCACAAAAAAACAAAATAAAAAAAATTACAACTTCATCTTATGTATCTCAAGCTCCAATCTCCAATCTTCAAGCTCATCTTCAATTTGTCACATGTAATCATCAACAACGCCACTCGAAGGTTGCTCAATAAGTGGTAATAACTCTACACAACAATTTTTAAAAAGAATATAGAATAAAAAATTAGTTAGAAGTTAAAACTAAATTATGCAAATTAATTAAAAAAAAAACATAATAACTAATAAAATGTTTTACCTTCTTCAATTCTCTCAATATCTTCAAGATTTTCTTCAACTACTAAAGGACCACGAGTATTTCGCAACCAATCTTGAGCACATATCAAAGATTCAACCATATTTGATGAAAGTGAGCTACGAAATGGATCAAGTACTCGTCCACCCGTACTAAATGCAGATTCAGACGCTACAGTGGACACGGGAATAGCTAACACATCTTTCGCCATAAGAGCTACTATAGGATATCTTTCCCCCACGATTTTTCCACCAATCTAAGGCATCAAAGCTCTTTCCAATAGTGTTAGGTTCTCTTTCATCATTTAGATACTTATCCAAATCACTCTTTTTCTCAAGATTGCTTTGACTTCCTATATCCCTCTCAAATTCAAATTCAGCCATGTCATGCCAATCCTCAAAGCTTTCCAAGTCTCTTGTAGTTAAATCAACCATATTGGATGGACTTGACCCACTTTGTGTTTGTTGAGAGGCATAATGTTCGTACAAAGAATTCAACGCATCCTTAATATTATCATACAACTCTTTACCCTTATCCAAATCATATTGATCATCAATAGCCCACTTCACATATTGCATCTTTCGCCTTGGATCAAGTACAACAGCAACATCAAATTGAGAATATTCACATTTTCCCAATACTTATCATGTTTTCTTTTCATTCCATGGGCCATTAATCTTTCACCAAGATCACTACTTTCACACTTTCTCTTTATCATCTTTCCAATGGTAACAAGTTCTTGCAAATACACATTAGAAGTAACATATAAGGACCCAGAAAGTCTTAAAGTAGCATCATAAAATATCTTAAGAAAAGGGAGCAACGAAGCAACACGATCCCAATCATCATTCAGTTGGAACACCATTAGACTTTGTCAATTCTTCATTAAATTTATCACCATCAGAAGTTTCAAGCAAATCAAAAGCCTTACGATAAATAGAAGCATATTCCAACATCAAGTAAGTTGAGTTCCACCTAGTTTCAACATCTAAGCAAAGATGACGTTTAGACTCAATTTGCTCTTGATTGACACAATTCTTAAACTTCTGCAATCTTGCGGGAGAAGATCTAACAAACCTTACCCCATTTCTTATTCTTTTTATTGACTCATCATTTTCTTTCAAACCCTCCCTCACAGTCAAATTGAGAATATGAGATGCACAACGCATATGCACAAATTTTCCCCCCAACACAGCCCCATCTTTCCATCTTTGAAGTCTTCTTCTTATTTATTGAATACCTACATCATTTGAACTAGCATTGTCCACTGTTATAGTCATGACTCTACTAATGCCCCACTCAAGAAAGCATTTTTCTATCCCTTTACCAATAGCCTCACCAGAATGACCGCTAATTAGACAAAAATTTAAGATTTTTTTGTGCAATATCCAATTATCATCTATGAAATGAGCAGTCAAACACATGTAACTCAAGTTTTGACATGATGTCCAAGTATCAGTAGTAAGACAAATGCGAGAAGAAGACTTGGAAAAGTAACTTTTTAGCTTCTTTTTTTCCTCTACATATATACGATAACAATCTCTTGCCACGGTAAAACGAGAGGGGAAAACAAAGTTGGGTTGTGCAAATGACATGAAATAGCGAAAACCCTCATGCTCACAACATCTAAAAGGTTTCTCATCTATTATGACCATCTTTGCAAATTCTTTTCTACATTCATCTTGCTTAAATTTCCAAAGATCTAATCTACTTTTTCTCCCATTTACAAATGTCCCCGGCATATTTTCATCCACACTACCATCTCCCTTAACTTGTTCAGTTTGCTCACTTTGCAAAGAAAGAAGTCTTTGTGATTTATCAATGTTAGGAGGGTATTCTTTGCACCTTTTAAGATGATTTTGCATAACAGTTGTACCACTCTTTGAGTCACCACAAACATCAGTTTCACAATAGTTACATTTAGCCCTCTTATCCCCATCTCTTGTGAATAA